AAGCGACGCCGAGAGAGATCAGTGGACAGAGAGATTTTCAGGAATCTCAGAATGTTCCTCAGGAATACGATGAAAGATGCTGTTAATGGTGAGTGTATATTACTGTTTCTAGCGGGTAAAATTTGATTAGAGTATTTATATCTAAAAGTGCTATTTCGCTTGGCATTTAGAAACTTTACAAACTACGTACACTATAGTGTTATTTCCTTGCCTGATGTTAATACTTAACGAGCCATTCCTAAGTTTAACGAAGTCGTTTTGATGCCTTTATCTCAATAATGTTGAACTTTTCATGATCAATCAGAACTTTTTTCGTTACATTGATTTCTATCTCTCCTTCCCTCAAAACAAATATATTTAGTTTCACCAAGAGAGTGGCTTCCAAACACGTGTTTTTTGACGTAATTGCAGACTTTTTAGAGATAAACAAACCCTGTGCCTTGTTGCGACTTTATAATGAGAAGAACTATACGGGCAGAAAAAGTGTAATGCGATTTCTATTGGAAATTCCCTTACTTGATCTACCTTACAGTGAGAAATCTTTTTGAAAAGTCCAAACCCTATATAATTTAACGCTCAGGGTTTTTTTTGGTAGGTTCATAAGAGTTTTAGTTTCAGTGTCAATGACAGATATTTTGCGGTGAAAATATCTTTACTACAAAATCCTTCACTAAAACGAAAAAGGCCAACATTGTCAGAATTGAAGTCCTTCGTGACAGCGAAAACGTGGGCAATGTTTACCGCAAAATCTTCTCTGTACTGGAAATACTTATGAACCTAGCACACGCCGTACAATATAGACTTTTCTGTACTTGTGTCCTTTGTCTCCGATCTATTTTTTTCTGAAACATTAGTTGAACAGTGTTGTAAAATTTTATAAAGTAGTCTAAATTTAATCTTGCTTTTGGCGAAATTGTCCTCCTTCAAAGAAATTGTAAGGTAGAGTAGCAAACAACCTTCCAGTAGAAATAAGAACCAACCTGGTAAAATTTATGATTGTAAATTCTGTTCTCTCATTGGCAAGGCATATAATACAGAGTAGAGTTTGTACAACGATAATTTGATCATCGTGACCCAAGCGAATCAGGCTTGTTTTGGCCGTAGCTTTGATTCACAACAACCAGCTTATATCCAGTTGTTTTCTTTCCTATTCTTTTCAAAATATGAGTAAGCTGACGTTAGAGGTTTTATTTTTTCGCCAGAGTAAACAGTAAATAGATCGCAGAGGAAGTTTACGTTCGCGTGATGTGTATTGACTGAGGTAACGGGTCTCGCATGGCAACAACATGATCGCACTTGTCGAGTAAACGATTCTTGTTTTTTTTTTTTTTTTTTTTTTTTNGGTTGTAAGATCTAAAAGATCTTCTTGTTTAGTTTTGTTGCTGACTAGACCCAAACTCCTTCTCGGCCAAATTTTGAGTCACACAACCTGTGATGTTATGGATATTGTTTTCTTTATTGTGTTCTTTTTAACATTACTGAAATAAATTTTCTTTTGGTTTTATCAAAGCGTTGGATTCAAAGGGAATAAGAAATACGCTAAACAAAGGTATTACATCAGCCATGGAATGCGCTGACGTTGCAGCTTTCACTTTAGCTATGTGACAAATAAGATTGTGTTTACTTTGCAAGTTTATTTTGCCAGGAGCAACAGTCTTTTTAGTTTTCCGAGTATTTTTCGTATTTTAGACAAGAGAAGTGAATTGTTGTGCTGTTTTATTGAAGCGAGTTCACAGATCGGAAGGAAAATTAAATATTTGCAAGCCAGGCAAAGAATGTGTTAGAACACGCAAGGGTTACGTCTTTGGTAGGGAAATAACCACCATACTAAAGATAGCCATGGATAACGCAATTCTTGAGTTATGTGACTCGTGTGACTTCTTTGCTAGCTCTTTATTCAAGGGAAAAAAACAATTAAATTTAATCGTGGCTTTTAAGAAAGAAAGCTGTTGGTAATAGTGTTCGTATCTTCATGCCCATACATATCCCGAAGAAAGTTCCAGGTTAAGACCATTACGTCATCGGAGATTTTACAACAGCTTCGCCTGATGGTGCAACAATAGAGTTTGTGTTGATCAAGTGATGTGGTGATTGCAGTAATCAATGAATCATCAAGGATTGCTTTGGAATGTGCACTGCGTTGCAACTGTAGTGCTAAGCAAACAGTTAAATTTTAAAAGCGCGGTTATAAGATCTAACAGATCTTCTTGTTCTCGATTGAGTGTTGTGCTGTTTTAGAGGAACCGCCTATGACATCATCACTTTCCTCATTTGCATAATACAAAGACGTGAGTATCTCTAAAACGAAAAAAGGTATTCCAAAAAGGAAAACGCCATTCTTCTTTACTTTGAAAAGCCTTTCAAATAAGCAGGAATTACTTTTTACTTCATAGGCACTTTAACAAGCCTTCCAACCATGGCTGGTAATCAATAGTACATTTGGTTTTCACTGGCTAATGCTCAATCTGACCGGTCATTTTGTTCTGAAATTGGTCATAAAATTAGTGACACAATAAATTTAACTGAGAACAACAGTTTTGTTGTACTTTTATCATGAGAAATACAGGCCAAAACATGACAACAAAGTCTCTCTCCATCCCCAAAACAGCCAAAGACGACCATGTTGAAAATCACTGTATAATGCATTGCGAACTTAGTATTGAATTAAGGTACATCATGTATGCCAATGGATCTCTGTTAATACCTTGCTGACAACAAATATTTTCAGAAATCAGTGGTCAGACAGGGAAATGATACTGTTGACTTTATAACTTTTCATTATGTAAAGGCAGAAAAATTATATAATCATTTAGTATCTGTTATAATTTAAAATGCTATGCAAAGGAAAGTACATGTCAGTGTGGCCAAATTCAAACTTACATTTTTGTTTGTTTTCAGTTTCAGTTTCCATTTCATGATTTGTACAATGAATTTTGTTTCGTTCAAATTATCAAATAGAATGGCATCTATGCCAACTTTCCCAGGTTATCCGGGTATCTCCTGGATACAGGCTGAATCTCCTGGTCTCTCATGCATGTCACCTCCCCTGAATTTGAAGAAAAGCGATTTTGTGGCTGAATTGGAAGAGCTCTGCTTTCAACAACATTTTTTAGGGTCAGGAAGGTCAAATTGGTGATTTTGCTGATTTAATTTTTTTTGAGGTTGGCATCTCTGAAATGGCAAAACTCAAAAACAAAAGCAACAGTATAAATTGGTAAAAAACAGAAGCAGTGCTTGCATTTATATACCAATTATTGACTTTTATTTATTTTGTTCAAATTACAACTTAAATAATATTCTTCCTCAGTCATGACCTGATCACTTTGCTGAATGCTTGATTCTAAAAAATTGATTGATATTAGTTTCTCAAGGAGAATCTTAACAGAGAGAAGGGGGATGCCCCCTGGGTCCCTCCACTAAATTTCCCAAGTCACTTGGTATTTTGGAAAACCAGTTGCTGAGGAGAGGTGGTCGCTTACGAGAGGTGGTTGCAACCTGAGAGGTTCGACTGTATTATGATCAATATCTCGCTGTATATATCAACATGGGTCAGATCAGGGCGTCAGGCCAGATGGAATTAATTCTTAATAATACCGCAAGTGTAAGGCTTGTATTCTGTTTACTTTACATTTTATTTAAAGCATGAGGTACAGTACAAGCGTCACACTACCAGCGTACTTGCCTCAATGAGAGCAAGTGAACAAATCACCCAGAACTGAGACCAAAAGGGTGTTTTGGTATTGTCGTTCTGTCCAAATTTTGACATCATCTGTGCATATTTGTAACTGAGTAGACAACAACAACATAAAGTCTAACTGAGCGTTCTCAGTAGCAGGCAGTGACAGGCAGATTTCCACCTACTGTCGAGAAAAATGTAGCTGTTAATTCTAGTTGGAAAGCACAGTGGGAAGGTTTCATTTATGTAGCTTGTCCTATGTACCAAAGAAATGCAGTTGCTTGTTACATATTGCTTGTCACCTGGAAATTGTGTAACTGACCCTAAACATTTTGATATTTAAGGTGAGCCAGAAACATGGAATAGTGTTCCTCATCACCAAGTATGGATATATCCATCTGTATGATGTAGAGAGTGGATCCTGCATTTACATGAACCGAATCAGTGGAGATACAATCTTTGTGACAGCACCTCATGAACCTACCGATGGTATTATTGGTGTAAACAGAAAGGGACAGGTAGGGTTGAAAACATCATGCTTTAATTTCCAAACTTTTCAATTTCTATTTGTCTTTAAAAATGTTTCATTACTATCAGGTGTTGTCAGTGAGCGTCGAGGAGGATAACATCATTCCATACATCACCAATGTGCTCCAAAATCCTGACTTGGCTCTTCGTCTGGCTGTGAGAAACAATTTGGCTGGGGCAGAGGAACTCTTTGTGAGAAAGTTTAACACCTTGTTCAACAACATGCAGTATGCTGAGGCAGCAAAGGTTGCAGCTAATGCACCAAAGGTAAACTGTCACTGTACAAAGATCTAACAAATGTCTTTTTACCACAACCAACTTCAATTTGGAAAGAAGGTTCTTCAAAGAAATCCACAATGGAATAATGAGAAGCTGTGTTACATTTTAAAAAGTAGAGGCTTTAATAACTAACTTTTGGGTAAAATTCTTTTTCTAATCAGGGCGTTCTACGAACACCGCAGACAATCCAGAGGTTTCAGCAGGTACCATCTCAGCAAGGTCAAACATCTCCCTTGTTGCAATATTTTGGCATTTTATTAGACCAGGGTAAACTCAACAAGTTTGAGTCACTGGAGCTCTGCAAACCTGTTTTACAGCAAGGAAGGAAACAGCTTCTTGAGAAGTGGCTTAAGGAGGAAAAGGTATTGGATAATAACCCTTATTATCGACATACTTCCTTTAATGTGGCTAAATGTAATTTAGGCAAAGTACATCTCAATCCAATGTGGCCAGCAGTGACTCCATTTGTATATGTGATCTGTAAGGTGACCTCAATAGCTTGCAGCTCGCCTCGTGGCCCATTTACATTTTGTCGCATTGCAGCTGATCTTCGTGGATCATTTACGTAGTCAGCTAATCTTTGCGGATCTCTAGCTGCAGTTTGTCAAGAAAGTCCTAATTTCTGCGTATCATACATGTGGAGTCTTGCTCCCAGCCCTCCCACCCTTGCATTTCATGGGTTAAGGTAAGTAGAGGGTTACAGTACATAGGTAAGTATTTTTCCACTGAACTCCTTTCAGTGTGATGGTACCAGGTGGCAGTTGCCTGTAGGGGTGGTTCCCGCTCCAGGGTTGTCACGGATACCTCCCTGCTGTGCCTGAAGTATTCAGGCCCCCTACCAACCTATAAGGCATCAGTTCCCAAGCTTATCTATTGGTGACGAGTTTAAATGTAAGTTTAATGTAAAATTTAGTGTTACTGGCATATAGCTAGAAAATCTACATGTAAGAATAATGTGAACTGCAGTTGTAGATGAAAGTGAAGAATGATCATCCCAGTAAATTTTTCAATTTAAGCAATTGGAAAGAAGAAGCCTGAAAAAAATCAGGGCTTCAATGTGTGACTTCATAGCTCATTTGGTAGAGCATCGCACCGGTATCGCGGAGGTCACGGGTTCGAGTCCCGTTGAAGCCCTGATTTTTTTCAGGCTTCTTCTTTCCAGTTGCTTGAATTGGAAAATTTACTGCGATGATCATACATCACTTTCACAAAATTATATTCTTTTCAAAATTACATCCTGGGATTTATTCTTAAAATATTTTTAAAAAGTTCCAAATTTCAGCCTCGATATTCGTATAAAATGTACTCATATGTCAAAATATGCAGGTTATTCCCACTGAGGGTTATCAGAACCTACAACTAACCCGCTCCAAATTGGCAAATTTTAACCTTGAATGTTATAAAGATCTTCAAGAAGTCTTGTCGAGGATTTCTCGTGAACTATTGTAGTAGGGAAGGAGAAAAAGTGTTAAATGTGATGTTGATGTCTTGTGTTTTGATTCTCGGAAGAGCAGAGGAGCAAATATATTCCTTTCATTACAGACGAGTGTCAACAGGTGACGCAGACAGTTTTGATCAGAGAATTGTAAATACCTGTTGTTTCTCTCTGAACTGTGTCAGAGGCTTTTATGACGCATGGTAGGACTAGTATCGCCTCCAAGAATGTGACGGTAGCTAACGCTGCCTTAGTTATTGATCAAATATTGTATTGATCAGATGTTTTCTCTGATCGTTGAGTTTTATTGCCGTGATCTTGTGTTCAGGCCTCATTAGACTTTGTTAATTGTTCAGTCTTCTTCAATAAACAGTTACAAGAGAAAATGATCGTAATCTCTTACCAGTTAATAGTTTACAATAAAATATGTATTCACAATATTTCTCTATAAGTAGTTTACAGTAAAATGTGTATTCACAAGATGTGCTTATCATAGATGTTCTAATTGGTATACTGTTACATAGCCGCCGTTGTTTAAGTACTACAGAAATAATGGAATTTTTAAGAGTGAACGGACGATCTTTTCCGAAATGTTTGTACTTCCAACCTAAGGAAGCATGGTTGCTGTATTTCGCAATTCTGTCCTGTAAAAAGATCTTCAATCAGTAGTTGTATGGATCATGAAAAGCAAACAAATAAACTGGCAACAAATAAAAAGCGAGCACGTTTGGCGGTAGAAAGGACAAATTTTATACCCGGAAATAAGTTTGCTTGGTTTTAAATTATGGCTTTAGCAGCCTGGTATTAGCCTATGCGTCACGCAATGACCGTTACCGCGCAACATGTGTGGGAGTCAACGTAGTCAAAGCGGGTTTAAAATTCATCGGACAGCTTTCAGTTTAATTACAAGACAGTGCCTGAAAAATAAACAAGAACAAACTATCAACACCCGCAGCAAATCATTCCAATAGTGTGAAACTACACATTTAGACAAAAAGAAATGAGTTCGCTTCTACTCTATAGAGTAGCGATCGGTGGAGGAGAAGCGACGCCGAGAGAGATCAGTGGACAGAGAGATTTTCAGGAATCTCAGAATGTTCCTCAGGAATACGATGAAAGATGCTGTTAATGGTGAGTGTATATTACTGTTTCTAGCGGGTAAAATTTGATTAGAGTATTTATATCTAAAAGTGCTATTTCGCTTGGCATTTAGAAACTTTACAAACTACGTACACTATAGTGTTATTTCCTTGCCTGATGTTAATACTTAACGAGCCATTCCTAAGTTTAACGAAGTCGTTTTGATGCCTTTATCTCAATAATGTTGAACTTTTCATGATCAATCAGAACTTTTTTCGTTACATTGATTTCTATCTCTCCTTCCCTCAAAACAAATATATTTAGTTTCACCAAGAGAGTGGCTTCCAAACACGTGTTTTTTGACGTAATTGCAGACTTTTTAGAGATAAACAAACCCTGTGCCTTGTTGCGACTTTATAATGAGAAGAACTATACGGGCAGAAAAAGTGTAATGCGATTTCTATTGGAAATTCCCTTACTTGATCTACCTTACAGTGAGAAATCTTTTTGAAAAGTCCAAACCCTATATAATTTAACGCTCAGGGTTTTTTTTGGTAGGTTCATAAGAGTTTTAGTTTCAGTGTCAATGACAGATATTTTGCGGTGAAAATATCTTTACTACAAAATCCTTCACTAAAACGAAAAAGGCCAACATTGTCAGAATTGAAGTCCTTCGTGACAGCGAAAACGTGGGCAATGTTTACCGCAAAATCTTCTCTGTACTGGAAATACTTATGAACCTAGCACACGCCGTACAATATAGACTTTTCTGTACTTGTGTCCTTTGTCTCCGATCTATTTTTTTCTGAAACATTAGTTGAACAGTGTTGTAAAATTTTATAAAGTAGTCTAAATTTAATCTTGCTTTTGGCGAAATTGTCCTCCTTCAAAGAAATTGTAAGGTAGAGTAGCAAACAACCTTCCAGTAGAAATAAGAACCAACCTGGTAAAATTTATGATTGTAAATTCTGTTCTCTCATTGGCAAGGCATATAATACAGAGTAGAGTTTGTACAACGATAATTTGATCATCGTGACCCAAGCGAATCAGGCTTGTTTTGGCCGTAGCTTTGATTCACAACAACCAGCTTATATCCAGTTGTTTTCTTTCCTATTCTTTTCAAAATATGAGTAAGCTGACGTTAGAGGTTTTATTTTTTCGCCAGAGTAAACAGTAAATAGATCGCAGAGGAAGTTTACGTTCGCGTGATGTGTATTGACTGAGGTAACGGGTCTCGCATGGCAACAACATGATCGCACTTGTCGAGTAAACGATTCTTGTTTTTTTTTTTTTTTTTTTTTTGAATGGCTTCCAAACAAGACTCTTTCCAGAGTTTCCGAGATGTGAATGGCACGTGACCCAGTAAAATGAAAATAAAAGGACCAAGAAGACTTGTAAACAGTTGAACGTGTGGAGAGTTCGAATTAATAGCACTCTGCATAGTTAAATTGAACGAGGGGATTCCCCGGAAATGACATGATTCCACTCAAAATGTAAATAGTGTTGGGTTTCTTTCAGGACGTTTGGTTACATCTCGCTGGGAAAACAACCTTCCACCTTACCCATAACACGTTAACAGATAAGTTTCTACGTAAAGAATGCAAGTAGCAGTTTGCTGTAGTCATTGCATGACGTGCATAAATAGTAGGTTGATTGAAAATCTCATAAGTTTCCTTTACCCTCCTAGGAATGAAATGTATGGAAGAATCATATGGTGAACAAGCGACAATTTTCATTGAAATGTGATTTTGAATTACGCACAAATGTTCGTCGTACAAAGGCGAGGCTGCTTTTGACTTGGAACCTGTGTTGGAGTATATAATACTGTCATGGAAGAAAATACGATATTTGCATAAATGTTACAAGCTTTCTACACTTCCCACAAGTCGACTTCTAAGCGTGGAACGACAGTGACGGCGCGAGAAGCCAGACTGTTCACAGCACTCTATTTTCAGGTAATTTTACTGGATCTTTGAACGCGAGAGAACTGAACGCAAGCGCAAAACGGTTCTATTTATGGGGAAGATGTTTGTTTACAAACATTGTTTGTTCAAAAAGGTTAAACTAAAGAATTCTGTGTTTCACCAGCCAATAGTTCTCTGGTTGGCATAATAGGTGACGTCACTCTTGTCTTTACTTCACCCGGCTCTCACCATCACCATCACCAGTCACCATCATCATTACCACCATTACACTGGCGTGACGCTTGGCGCGAATATTTGCTTAAGCCGGATCCTCATCAGCTTAGTCGTTTTTCTACTCTCCAATTTTTGTTGATCGTAAGAAAAGTTCGTGGCTCGCTAAAAACAACCTAGCAGAGATGTTTTCAAGCAAAGAAATTTTCCGGAGTGCTGTGTTCGCTGTCATCGGTGGGATAATCTCTGTGGTGGTCTTAAAGTTTTTAGAGACTGAAGGAACAGCGAGAGAAATCAGAGATGAAGATGAGTTGAACGAAGCTAAGAAGCAGCCACAAGAACATGACGAGAGGTTGTGTTGAGAGGGTGAGTGTGGTTTTTGGCAAATTTCTTTCCAAAGATTTGTTTTCTCTCTAACAGCCAAAGAAAGAGGGCATTAAGGAGGCGTTTCGGCAGTTTTGTGAACCTGCGTTGAGCACCGTCTTCCATTTCTTCCATTATGCACGTTGCTTTCTCTATTTTGAAATTCAAATTTAAAGTCTACCTTCAGTTTTTTTAATCATTTTTAATTGTCCGGGAAAGGCGCGCGCTCCCTCATTGATTCCTAAATTCTGCTTACTTAAGCAGCCCAACTCCACCTACGCTAGCGAGGGTCTCGTCTCTAACGTTTGTGATCGTCTCTTCCATTTATTTTGCGGTTCGTTACACATGCACAAGCATAACGTGACTCAAGCGTGAATTTACTGCTGACCATTTCGTACAGTAGCTGGCATTAGAGAGTTTTATAGACGCTGTCTACTTTGGAAAGTGAGCACGCGGTGCGCGCATCAACTACGCAATGCAAGTAAAATTGTCCTGTTCTGACCAAATCAAGTTTAATGAGTATGTATTAAAACCAGGAGCACCAGATTGACAGTCACCTACCCCAGATTGTTTTTTAATTTACACCCAAGCGATGTTGGTCCAGTAAGATAATAACATGCTTTCCTCATTTTCTCTCAGCAGACAAGGCTGACCGCACAAGGATGACCGCACAAGACTAACAAAAGAATTTAAAATAGAGCTATAGACACTAGCTATTGCAAATAGTTGAAAAATGGAAAATCAGGAAAGGAAATGACACAACTCTCTTTGGAGGAGTAACTTTCTTTTCA